CCAAGCAATTATGATAGGCGGGTTGTCGTGAGTTTTTTTCTCATGTCCCTTCTTCCACCTTCCATTTTCCCAACTCTTCTGTACTTCTCTTAGTGCTGCTGATAACCGCGCTCACCAACACACCTCCCTGCCTGCACATCCTCACGTTGTCTCCCAACCCAAGGCGGCAGTAAGGGGGCCAGTTACAAAATGGGCCAATTCTACTCCCACTTGGCCCCATGTAATTATTTTTACCCCCCTCCCAGGGAAATAAAAAACTCTCTGGCAAAAGGCAAAGAGATGTAATAAGAATCACCTTCCTAAGAGCCATTTCTAGGCTATAGGCAATGGCTCTGATAGTTCATAGATGCCACTTATTTTTCATCCCAGTCTTTGCGCGGTTCATGAAATCTCTGAGAATCCACATTCCCAAAGTGGAATCAAGTAGTGAGAAAAGAATGAATCAAAATGTACAAAACATAAAATGAATGTGGCTGCATACGTCGGACAGAAACGATTGACCTGACACTCCCTTCCCACCGGGCAGAAGTAACAAGGACCAGCCTTGTCTTTAGGTAGCAAACTATTAAAAACCCAAATAAAATGTCTGAAACAAGAGAGCGGACATCAGGAACATGAAGGGCAATGGTGCCAAGGGACAGAGGACGAATGAGGGGGGCTCCACGCTGGCCCCATTACTGCTTTGAGGGTTTCCGGTTGCAGCCCAGAGAGGGGAGCCCAGGGGGAGCCCAGCCTCCGTGAGTCCTGGGGAGCGATCTGAAGGCTCTTGGCGTTGGCAGGACGCAGCCGCCAAGGGGAGAGCCTCAGAGTGAGGACCACAGACCTGCTGGGGGTCCCCCCCGCCTCCCCTAAATCTGAATTTTGCAAGTTCTGTTATTGAGGTGGTTTTGGGGGGTGTGTGTGTGCGTTTGCTATTACTCAGTTGCAGAAATGTTTTAATTTCAATTATTACTTCTTCTGTGGCTCGTGGGTCACTTGGTGGTCATTTCTTCATTTCATTAAGTAACTTCTTATTTCCCCAACTTGTGTTTTTTTTTAATTTTTTTAAATTTTTTTAGTTGATTAGTCCAATGTGGTCACTGAATATGATTGCAAATTCATTGAGCCTTTTTTTCTCCTTACTCCATTTTTTGGAGGTGGTTCTGCTGTTTTACACTCTACCTTTGCTTTTTTTTTTTTTTTTTTTGTGGTTACCCCTAGAAAACGTAACCTTTATATTCAACTTAGCAAAACCTAAAGTCAGTACCTCCATTCTCTTCCAGAGCAGGTGAAGGACCTTGCAACACTAATTCCAGTAACTTCCCTTTTCATTCACAAGCTATTCTAGCCCAGTGTCTTCTTTCTTTTTCAGATTCTAGATTATCATATTATTTAGTTCGTCTTTGTTTAATATGTCGGCTATTTCTTTGCTTTTGGTTTCCACTGAGCTGCCAGACTGAGGCGATTGCCTAGGACGGCAGCCGAAATGATGCTCACGATCATGCCTTTATCACTTATGCAGTGTAAACGGGAGGTGAGAATAGGCACCAGTTCCCCCCAGTGTTCCATTTCCCGCCACAGAGGTGCCAGGTAAGAGTCAGGTGAGTCAGCACAGGTGGAGGGGACTCTTGCTGCCAAAGAGGGACTTGGGGGGCGGTGGGAGAGGGAAGAGGGCGGGAGATGGCCAGAAGTGGGGAGAGCCCAGTCGGAGCAAAGAGAGTCTGAGTCCAGGAGGCCCCGGATGGAGGTGTGGGCTTGCGAGGTGGGGTGTCCATGAGAACGGCTGGCCCCGAGGTCCTGTGGCCGTGACCACAGCTCCCCTAGTGCTCCGGGCCACCCCAAGCCTTGCGTGGGGACGACAGCTTTCCCCGGTGAGGCCCTGCAAAGCCCTGCCTGCGGTGGGGCCTAGAAGATCGCGCATAGACTTCGTGCGGAGCCAGACCCCCTCATTTCTTGTCTTCACTCTAGGGCCGTTTAGTTCTGCTAGGAGTTCACGTTTTCACGTTTCCTATACTGAAGTTCTGCTGGTGGCAAGCGCTCCGTTTTTGTTTCCCTGAAAATATCCTTATTTTGTTCTCCCTCTTGCAGGACTGTTTAGTGGAGCATAGAGTTTTCAGGTTGGTAATTGCGGTCTCTTTGCGTGTGGAAGCTCTGTCTCCAGTGTCTTCTGGTTTGCACGGCTGCTGTGGGATGTTAGCTGCTATTAGCTGTTTTTCCTTTTAAAATAGTCCATCTCGAATATTCCTCAGCCATTAGAAATGACAAATACCCACCATTTGCTTCGACGTGGAGGGAACCGGAGGGTGTGATGCTGAGTGAAGTAAGTCAATTCAGAGAAGGACAAACATTATATGGTCTCATTCATTTGGGGAATATAAGAAATAGTGAAAGGGAATAAAGGGGAAAGGAGAAAAAATAAGTGGGAAATATCAGAAAGGGAGACAGAACATAAAGACTCCTAACTCTGGGAAATGAACTAGGGGTGGTGGAAGGGGAGGAGGGCGGGGGGTGGGGGTGAATGGGTGACGGGCACTGAGGGGGGCACTTGACGGGATGAGCACTGGGTGTTATTCTGTATGTTGGCAAATTGAACACCAATAAATAATAAATTTACAAAAAAAATAGTCCATCTCTTCTCTCTTGGTCCAAAGATCTTCTGTTTCGTGGTCTGTTGTTTCTCTATGATGGGTCTTACTGTAGATCTCTTCTCTTCTCTTCTTTTTGGGATTCACTGGGCCTCTCGACTTGTGAACTGATAACTCTAATTATGTCTGGAAGATTTTCACTTTATTATTTCTTCTTATTCTTATATTATTTTCTCTCATTTATTAACTCTTTGTCCTACTTTTTTCTTTTTTTACCACCCTGATTAAATATATATTAGATGATCTAACTCTACCCTTCATATGTCTTAATCTCATTCATATTTTCTGTATCTTTTTCATTCTTTGCTAAATTCTCATTAATTTCTCCATCCTTCTTTCAGTTCATGAATTCTCTCATCAGCAGTTAAACTGGCCCTCCAATTTTTAAATTTCACTTACAGTTGTTTACATTTCTTGAAGTTCTATTTGGTTCTTTTTATACTATGCTTATTCACTTGTTATAGCCCTGTGCTCTGTTACTCAATTTTCAATCTCTTTTTTTACTTCCTTAAACAAAATACAGTCTAGAAAATTCTCAATCTAAAAATTCCAATATCAGGGATGCCTGGGTGGCTCAGTCAGTTAAGCATCTGCCTTTGGCTCAGGTCATGATCCCAGGGTGCTGGGATCCAGCCCCATGTCCGGCTCTCTGCTCAGCGGGGGTGGGGGGGAGTCTGCTTCTACCTCCGTGTTTGATACACATGCTATTCCTCTCAAATAAATCTTTAGAAAAAATAAAAAATCCAACATCAGAGGACATTGTGGGTTAACTATTATTATTATTATTATTATTATTAATTAGTTTTAGTTTGCTTTTGCTCAGAGTGTTATGGTTCTTTGTTTTTGTTTTTAAAATTTTTGTTTTCGCCTGTGAGTTCATATTTATTGTAACTTTATCGTTTTCTTCAGACCCTCACTCAGCACTTATTGAATAATACTAATTTCCCCTGCAGTCTTCAAATTTATCTTTAGTTCACCACGGTATTGAGGTATAATCCTTTGAGACACCAATTTTATTGGGGGTTCCCTAGTATCCTCAGTATGGCAGGATTTGGGATTTGTCTACAGTCCCCTGAGCCCTGAAAGGGAGTGAAAATGGAAGGGAAGTTCACTATCTTCTGCAAATTTTCTCAAAGAGAAAATTGGTTTAATGTTCTTGTTTCTTACCTTTACTTAGTGTTTTTTTTTGTTGTTGTTTGTTTGTTTACCATTCTTTACCTTTTAACCAGTTAGCTCATATATTTAAGAAAGTATTTCTAAGATGGTATCCTGGATTTTTGGTTTTCAGTGTAAGGGTCAAAGTACCAGTTTGCTGTCTTGCCAGAAATGAAAGACCTACTGTGTCCATCAATCCTTTTAATTATTGGAATTAATAAAACTACTCCTTTGGCTTCTCCTTCTGGAAATTCAATTACATGTGTGTTAGATCCCTTGATATCCAATCACATGTATATCAGACCACGTACATATTAGATCAGAACTCTTGGGAGCTCCATTCTGGTGCTTGTTTGCTCGTTGTTCACTATTTCTTCCCTTTGTGTTTTAGTCTGGGTAATTTTTATTGACCTGTTTTCAAGTTTGTTCATTCTTTCCTCAGCCTTGTTCGGTCTGCTAATGCACCCAACAAAGAAATGCTTCATCTCTGATATTATGCTTTTTATTTTAACATTGGCATTTGACTCGTTTTTTTTTTATTTTTTATTTTTTTTTTTTACTTTTTTTTTTTTGACTCGGTTTTACAGTCTTCATCTCTCTCCTCCAATTCTCCTTCTCTTCACACACGTGGTCCTAGATCTTTAATGTATCAATTGCATTTATGTTAGGGTCCCTCGCTGGTAGTTCCAGCGTCTAGGTTATCTTCTGGTCTGGCTCTCTTATTTGCTTTAACTCTTGACAATACATTTTTTTTTCTTTCTAAAAATTAAAAAAAAATTATACTAGGCATTGTGTGTGGAAGAAGAGTAGGTGTCATTCCCAGAGTGGAAGAGGATCAATGTTTTTACTCTACTGGGCCCTATAAGTATTATTTAGCCTCGCTGGGTCTCAACCATGTCAACAGAAAAATGGAAATAAGCCCCAACTCCAAGAAATAGTGTGTGAGATATATAAGACATAAATGTAAAATACTATCATTTACCGGGTGATAGACCTTAGTACTTATGTTTAATAAGGCGACTAGATTATACACACTTGGTTTTTATCTCCAAATGGTATCTTTTTCCTGCTAATTAAAAAAAATTCACATTTCATTTTTAAAATTCTAATGAGATGAAAATGTACAAATTAGAAAGCCAAATGCCCCCGCACATATAATTAAGACCATACTATAATTGTGCATTCCTCTACTCCTTCAATAAATAACATAAAAGATTGGTGTCACTGCATTTGATTTAATGTTTATTAATACACACATAAAGCCCAGAGATCTTCCAGACATTTATCCAGTATTTAATTTCAAAGTAGAAGCTGTAAGTTTTTATGGATGGTATAAAGAAAGGTCCCCACGTGATCCCCACCATATTTTGATTCGATGTGGGGTTGGGGATCATTTCTTCCTGTAGAAACAGAGAATTTGGAAAGTATCAAGAAGATGGTAACAGAAAGGATGAGAAAGTCCTGTGCTTTGGGAATGGACCAGGTCCGACGGGCCCGTCAGTTGAAGCTGGAGCCAGCATTCCTGGCCGGAGGAGACCAAAGGGCTTGCTCGTCTTGCTAAAACCTGGGCAGCATTTCCTCCATGTCGGCGATGACGTAGGAGACCACAGCCCAAACGGCGGCAGCCACGTTCATCTGCTTCGGATCCATGGCAGTCATGGTGTCTCCATGGGAGTGATGGAAGGAGAAGTACCTGTAGAGGTCGTCGAGCAGGCTGGCTCCTGGGGAAACAGAGGAAACTCTCAGTGCTTGGGCCGAGGCGCTGAGCAGCTGACAGGAACCCCAGCCTCCCCCCAGCCTCCCCCTGACCTCCCCCTGCCCCAGCTCACTGCTCCTGCTCCACGGCTGCAGGGCCCGAAGCGTTACTTCCCCAGGCTCTCCGGCAGCAAGACGTGGCCAAGCGACACTCGTACTACCAGGATTTGGTGGCAGGTGGTGAGAGAGGCCAAGGAAGGCCTTTATGTCGCTGGCAAATGCCCACGTGCTGCATGGCAGGTAGGCGAGCGGGCCGGAGCAGCACAGGCCGCACTGCAACCAGCAGGGTAGGAAGGCAGGAGCCTGGATTAGGACGCACGCCAGCCCGCGGCCCAGGCCCGACACTGCCTACTTCTGGGCCACGCCACGTTAAAGCAAACAGATCTCCCTTTGTTTAAGTAACAGATACAAATGTCCTATTTATTTACAAAACGACAATGTCTGCTTTTGTTCTCCGTAAGACTGCAAGTTGCGTACCTTCCTGGATGCAAAAGAAAGCCCGTACTCCCTTGCTCAAGCTTTTCTTCTCTCTTTTTTTTTTTAAAGATTTATTTACTTATGACAGACACACAGAGAGAGAGAGAGAGAGAGGCAGAGACACAGGCAGAGGGAGAAGCAGGCTCCATGCCGGGAGCCCGATGCGGAACTCGATCCCAGGACTCCAGGATCACGCCCTGGGCCAAAGGCAGGCGCCGAACCGCTGAGCTACCCAGGGATCCCCCAAGCTTTTCTTCTCAAATCATTCACACACTTCCCATGACATTTCCTAGTAACCTCTCAAGGCACCAGCAGGCATCTCTGCCCCACCTGAGAGCTTCCTTCTCTCTCTAGTGAAGCCTTCCTCTAGCTTCCACATGGGCCCCGGCCCTGGGAGTCTTCACTGGCCCTCAGTCATCCTTCAGAACCCCCTGGGTCCAGTCTGCGGATTCCACCTGCACTTCTTTACCCTCTGGCCTTATTAACTCACGTACATTGTGTCTCCTTGTAAACTGCACATACACAAGATTGCAGAGAACATAAATGCATATCATGATGGGTGACGACATACAAAATATGCATATGTCCACAATCCAATGTAAGAAAATATTACCGGTGCCTTTGAGGCCCATTTTATGAGTTCCCCCTTCCCTTGTACATCCTTTACTTCCTCCAGAGGTACACCCTTCCCCCTTTCTGCTTGTGTGTTAATCACTCTTTGCTTTTTAAAAAATATTTTATTTATTTACTTGAGAGAGACAGAGAGAATGAGCACAAGCAGGGGGGAGGGACAGAAGGAGAGGGAGAAGCAGGCTCCTGCTGAGCAGGGAGCCTGATGTGGGGCTGGATCTCAGGACCTGGGATCATGACCTGAGCCAAAGGCAGGCACTTAACCCACTGAGGCACCAGGCACCCACTCCCTGCTTTAAAAAAAAAAAAGGTTTTATTATATATTTATATGGCATTATAAATAGATAAATAAATAAATAATAAATAAATAAATAAAATATTTATTGTTTAACACTTTTGCCTCTGAAACCTACAGTCTTTAAAACTTTTTAAAAGTCTTGCCTTTCATTTTTAACTTCTTCATCCATTTAGAATTGAAATTGATTTTTGTATAGCATACGCTTATATTTTTATTTTTTACATATCCCAGCAAATTTATTGACTGTTATACCCTCTTTCCCCACTGATCTGCATCAGTTTTGCCACATATCAAATTTCCTTATGTATGTGGGTTTATTTTGGGGGCTTTATAATTCTATTCCAATGTACTGTGTATCCCTGAGGCAAGACAATAATGTCTTAATTACTCCTGCTATTTCTTGGAATCTGACAGAGCAAATCCTCTCACTTTCTCTTCCTTCCCCTTCAGGAATGCCTTACTATTCTTTTCTTAAGAAATTTTTATTTATTTATTTGGAGAGACAGTGAGTGAGAGAGAGGACACAGGCAGAAAGGGGTAGAGGGAGAGGGAGAAGCAGACTCCCCGATGAGCAGTGAGCCTGCACGGGGCTCGACCCCAGGACTCCGGGATCATGACTTGGGCCGAAGACAGATACTTAACCAACTGAGCCACTCAGGCGTCCCATGGAATGTCTTCCTATCCATGTCTGCTCTTTCAGATAAAGTTTGGCATCATTTTAAAATTGTACAAAAAGGGGATCCCTGGGACGCAGCGGTTTGGCGCCTGCCTTTGGCCCAGGGCGCGATCCTGGAGACCCAGGATCGAATCCCACGTCGGGCTCCCGGGGCATGGAGCCTGCTTCTCCCTCTGCCTGTGTCTCTGCCTCTCTCTCTCTCTCTCTATCATAAATAAATAAAAATTAAAAAAAATTGTACAAAAAAAGTTCTTTTAGATTGAATGGAAATCCTGTTAATCTACATGTCTATTTGGGGAGAAGTCACATCTTTACATTAGGATATTGTGTTCTTATCCATGAAAATGGTGTGTTGGTATGTCTCTATTTATTGAAGTCTTCTATAGCATCTTTAAAGTTATGTAATACAGTTTCTATACCTTTTGTCAGTTTTCTTTTCTCCAAGGCTTATTATACTTTTTGTTGCTAATTGTAAAGTATACATTTTAAAAAGCTGCATTTTTCTGTTTGTGGCTATCCATTTTCACATCAAGGATACATCTGATTCATAAAAAGGCAGGTGTTCCTTCTTTTGTACACTCTGGAATAGTTTGTGTAAGATTAGAGTGATTCATTTCCTGGTTATTTTGTAGAACTCTGTTCAAAACCATCTAAGTCTGATACTTTGCTTATGTTAAAATTTTTAACAAATGATTTGATTTCTATCCTGGTTATTGAGCTATTAGGGTTTTGTATTTCTTCATGAATTAACTTTGGAAATTATAATTTTTTAGGAATGGGTGATTTTTGGCCAAATATTCAAAATAATCAGCATAAAGTTATCAGCAATATCCTGTTTTTATCTCTGTTTATGTCTGTATGTACAGGAATGCATTTTTTAAATTCTCCATATTAGTTATCAGTGTCTTCTCTCTCTTTCATTCATCAGTCTTCCCAGCACTTTATCAGTCGTATTATTAATCTTTTGAAAAATAAAGAACAATTTTTTTTAACATTCTCTACTATATACTGGTTTTTCTTCCATTGGTTTCTACTCATATTTATTGTTCCCCTCCTTCTGCCTTCTTTGGCTTTATTTGCCTTTCTTTTTCTAACATCTTGAGTTGAATGTTCAGTTTATTGCTTTGCATCCCTCTGTCTCCAGTGTAAGCAATAAGACCACAATCCCCTTCCTACTGCTGCGTCAGCTCTAACCACCAGTTCATGATCATCAGTAAGAAATATTCACCAATTTTTCTTTGACTCATGAGTTAGAATGTGTTTTTTTTTTAATTTTTTAAAAGTATGAGGGTGGGGTACCTGGGGGGCTCAGTAGTAGAGCATCTGCCTTCAGCTCAGGGCATGACCCTGGGGTCCTGGGATCAAATCCCGCATCGGGCTCCCTGCAGGGAGCCTGCTTCTCCCTCTGCCTGTGTCTCTGCTTCTTTCTGTGTCTCTCATGAACAAATAAATAAAATCCTTTAAAATAAAATAAAAGTATGGGGGTGGTTTCCTTAGTTTTTCATTACTGATTCCTAATTTAGCTTATGGAGAATGCAGGCTGTATGATACGGATTCTTTTCATTCTACTGAGAGAATCTTTTCAGATTCTTTTTATCCTACTGAAATTTTCTCTGAGGCCTATTGTACTATGCATTTTTATAAATGTTCTTTTCCATGTGTGGAAAATAATGTGCTTTCTGTGTATTGTATATATGTGTGAGATCAAGCTTGTTTCTTCAAATCTTTTAACACCCAACTGATTATCTGTTTGAGCTATCAATTTTGAGAGAGATATGTGAAAATGTCCCTCTGTGATTTTGGATTTTTCTTCTTGTAGTTCCAGCAATTTCTTTGTTTATATATTTCAAACTTACACTATTGGGGCACACAAATTTAGAATTACAGTTTCCTGGTAAATTGAGCATCTTTATTAATGTGCAGTCATCCTCTTTATTTTTAGGAGTGCTTTTTGTCTTGAAGTTAGCTTTTCCTAATATTTAATAAATCATACCTTCTTTCTTTACCCTAGTATGTCTTCTTCCATCATTTTACTTGCACTCTTCCTTGATCCTTATGTTTTTAGATGTTTCTCTTATGAAGACATTTAAAGTTGAATTTTAAAAATCTAGTCTAACAGTCTGAATCTCAACTGGACAGTATAGTTTCTTTATGAAGATTGTGATTACTATTAAATTAAATTCATTTATACCATCCTAAGTTTTGCTTTCTATTTGTTAATTTTGTTTTCTAGGTTTGGTTTTTCCCCCTTTTCTTTCTTGCCTTCCTCTGTGTTGATTCCCCTCATCTATCCTTCCCCCAACCCCTACTAGTTTGGAAGCTATACATTTTATTTCAATTCCAACAGTAGAGACCTTAGAAATCATAGCTCACATGTGCCAAAGTTAATTAATATCTTACACTAGGGCCCCTCGGTCTCCAGATGCACACCGCTCATTAAAAACCATGGTCCAGGGAAATAGGAATTGGCAGATACCTTCACACAAATGCCATGCCCCAGAGTTTCCTTACTTCTATAGATTTCTTGCTTTATCATTTTTTACCTCTGAGCAATTCCCTTACTTTGCCTTATTAAGCCATGTATTATAGAAAGACAATTATTATTTTATCCAATAGTTATTTTTGGGGGGAAGAATGTGTCTGCAAACTTCTGGTCTACCATGTTGGCAGAGTTCTCTTCACCCAGTCCTCTACTTGCTGCCCTGTGCACTGGACCCTGTCCTTGTTCCTGAGAACTTTGTGACCTCAGGATACTGTCTAGATTTTTTCTATCCTAACCCAAGTTTTTAAAACTTTGTGCCAAGGTTTTCCTCTATCTATCTCCCCAAACTCCTTGCTCTGAAGTAGAATTTGGATTTATCTCCATTCGTATTTCACACCGAATT